AAAGTATGGTGGCATGCTATCACAAAATGGATGGCTTTGTGCAGCATTCCAAGCTGTCCTACCACATACATGTTTCACGTGTATCTATGAGAACAAAGTCACAGCCTCCATCATGCAGTCTTCAAAATGAGTTCATAATTGTGAGTATAATGTCAACTATTCTGTTTAGTTACAGGATGGTTGTCGTTTAATATGCAGTGCATGTTTGATGTTTTCATATATTTTACATAAGTTGTATACTTCATTGTAGACTTGTATTGAAAACAACGTAACACAATGACCATCATTATTTTAGCTACGCTGTTGACTTTGTAGAGTGGAGCTTATTATTTGAGTGTTTGTCTGTCGGTGTCTGGTGGTATTCATTATTCAATACTGCTTGTTTCAGATTAGATATTGCTGCACACCACTATATTTCAGAACCATCTTATTCTTGGCAAGACTGTTCTTAATGAATAATTAGATGTTGTACGCCATTGGGTATCCATCTGTGCTAGTTTGATTGTCATTGTATTATTATCAACAATCTTACCATTCATGTTTACTTGCATTCCTTCTATAAGTTCCTCTTTTTTCATGTAGAACTTTATTTCTTGTATATCTTTATCTTTTATTTTAAGCTCCTTTAGTAATACTTGCACATAGTGCTTTATTATTGACATCATTGATAGAGCCTACTCTAGCAAGGATTTGGCTGAGACCTTCTGAGATTTTACTGTCTATTGCTGTGAACATAGGCACTTGTTGTTGGTGTCAATCAGTTTTTTTTTGGTGTTGGAATCAATCCTTCTTTTCCAATTCTTTGTAGAAGTGTGTCATCTTTGAAATGCGTTGATGGTTTTCTGGGTGTGAAGTGTTTGATATGACTTTCTATTACAATGTCGTTGGTGGTGGTGGTGATTCAGTGACCATATTATCTGATTTTTTTTGTCTGAGTCGGTGTTGTTTTCGTAATCCTTATTTCTGTATCTAATGGGTTTTCTTGATGTTTTGACAGTTCTTCTTCTATGTCTAACAGTGCTGTAAGCAAGCGTGTTTAGATCTTCCATGAGTAACATGTGTGACTGTTACATTGTGGTGTGTCATTAGGACCAGGAAAAAATTGTAAACATTTAAATTTAAAAATTTAAATTTAAAATATGAGAAGTTGATATCAAATATGATAAATGAATGGTGAACATTTATTAACATTTACCTTAA